CGGCGTGTACTTGTGTAATGCACTTGTCATGTGTTTGATCAAGTCTTGAATACTTTTRAAACTTCCACCTTCGCTCAGTTTTAAAGAAATAATAGCTGATTGCTCTTTATTCGTATCATAAGGCTGCGTGAATTTTCTAAGTTCGAGGTAACACCCTGAGCTGTGAAGATTGTACCACGTGTGAGGATAAATTATCTTGCAAAGTCCGACTTCCCAGTCTCCTGATAATTCGATAGGTTTTGCTAAATGCACGATAAAATCCGATGTTTTATTTTCAAAGGTCTCTGCATTCGAATTTGAAGGAAGTGTCACGTAAAAACCGTGTTTAGGATATCCCATGTTTATCTCCCAGGGTGCGTAAGCATACTATCGTTTGTGAATAACAGTACGTAGGTTTTTATGTGTGTGGCGTAGGCTGGCGTGATGACGTTTATGAACGGTGGAAACGTAGGTTTTTTACGTGCGACGTAAGTTGACGTGATGATGTTTACGTACGGAAGAAACATAGGTTTTTTTTTACGTGCGACGTAAGTTGACGTGATGACGTTTTTTGTTTATGTTTTTCATACGCTCTGTAGTTCGCTGGCTTTAATCCACGAATTAAACTTGTCTGGACAATTTTTCCAGCTGACCAGAACCTGTAGTTCACCTCTGAACGGGCGTTTTTTTCAACACTTTATCCACCTGGTATACTCTCTCACGGTCTATTTCAATCTTCTGCAACTCCTGTTCATAGAAAGAGCCTTTAATCTTCTCGCCATCAAAGTCTATAATTTTGTAAACAGCCAGATTTCGATAGAGGCATTCAGAGATTGTRAATATTTCATCAGTGAAACTTTGTTGGTATTTCTTATCAAAAACACAACGTAGTTTTGATATTCTTACGTGATCACCTTTCTTGAGATTAAATTTGCTTTTAACCCGTTTAACAGCTCCGTACAAATTATGTAAAACTTGCAGTTTGTTATCATCTGATACATCTACTGGACGCATTTTAATGCTCGAWTGAAAAGACTCGTTGTAACTTTTTACAAAGTCCTGAAGAGTGTCCTGGTAACGCAAGGTGTTTCCAGCTGTAAAAAATTTCCACATTCTRGTTTTCAATGTCCTGTTAAAACGCTCTATTACAGAAGCCTTGACATCACTGAATGTGTAGAAATGAACCACTCTGTGTTTATCCATTAAACTCTGAAATTTCTTATTAAAAAATTCAGTTCCTGCGTCCGTTTGAAGTTTTCTAGGGATTCCGCTTTCTGTGAAAACAGATTCCATAGCCCTGGTAACATTACCAGCTGTTTTATTTTTTAGAAGTCTTACATAAGCACGCTTGGAGAATACATCGATTACAGTTAATAAAAACCTGTATCCATCATTGAATTCTGAAAGGCTATTCATGTCACACAAATCTGCCTGAAATTGTCTGAGAGGCGCTTAGGCGAACACTTTATTCCTGGGGAAATGTATCCTGGCAGGTTTATGCAAAGTGTATGCATCTTGACTTCTTAAAAATGTTTTAATTTTATCAGAATCAATATCGACATTAGTTTGGTCTTTGACAGCAGATTGTAATCTACGAATTCCCCCAAAACTACCTGGGTTATCAGGAGTGTAATAAATTTTCTCCAGGATTTTGTGTTCTTCCATCATGTCCCCTCATGAATGAGTCTGAGGGAAAATGACTAGTTATAAAAACAACATGCATCTTTTTATATTTTCTTATGAGAGATTGTTTTGTTAAATTTAAAAACTATTTTGAAAACACTAAGAGGTAGTTACACATTTTAAAAGAAACAGTAGTCTTTGTAAGCTTTTAGTTACAAACTATTTTGAAAACTATTTTGAAAACACTAAGTAGTTACACATTTAA